GCTTGGCTGCTTACAGTACATCATGAGTGCTCCCCGCACCAGCCCCTTCTGATTCAGGATGAGACAAAGTCATCTTCCAGGCACAGAGAGGGCCTGGGTGTTTTCAACCCTCAGAATATTCATCTAGAAGGGGTCTGGAAGCACTGGGTGCCAGGGCGGACAGCAACACTAAGCCGGGCCCAATGCAGGCACCGTCACAGATGTGACAGGTGGCCCTCAGCATGTTGCTCTTTTCCTTTGGGCCTCAGGCTCCTCACCTGTGAAAGGGGAATGAAAACAGTAACCCATCTACCCAGTGAGTTGTGGTGACCCAGCAATATCAGTGCTGTAGAATCCCTTGGGGAAATGAAGATAGAAGATTGTGATGGTCATAGTCAAGGCCAATGATGGGCCTCAGGCACTTACGAGGGAGAAAGATGAGTGAGGGGACTCCAAGAAGCAATGAGCTCTGGACAGGAGCTGTCTTAGGGGGAGTCTGGCTCCTAACTCCGTTCCAAAGTCAAATAGAAGTGACCCGAGATGGTCCCCTTTCCTGTATAATTAGGCCTCAAGTGCACAGAATTGGATTATTTGTAACCTTTTGTTCATGACACATTCTTACCAGTTATTTGATTCCCATCAAAAAACAAAACAACTAGGGCCTTTACAGTGTTCTATATCTCATTATATAGTTCTCCCACCACTCATTCTCCTGCTGCTATCCCGCCACCCACGGTTTCCATCACCTCCTGTGTTCAGCATTCCCTTGCTCTCCTTTTTATATAGTTTTAGTGCATCTGTGTATTCCTTCAAAGTATATATTTTCATTCTAGTTATTTAAAACTTTATAAAAAGGGCATCTTGCTGTGTATAATTTTTTGGGATTTCTTTGTACTTAATATACTGCTAAGATTTACGCACTTTGCATGTCGGTATAGTGCATTCTGGCTGTGTGTTAACATTCCAATGTGTGAATATAGCACAGTGTATTCATCCACTCTCTCATGGATGGGCATTTGGGCGGTTCCAGCTGTTCGTGCTTGTGAACAGTGCAGCTCAGTGTTGTGCATGACTTCACGTGCACATGCGCAGAAGTGCTGGAGCAACAGCTATGCTGTTGTTCAACGTTGGAGAGGCATTGTCAAGCTGGGGTCGAATACCTCTTCTATGTTTTTTGATGATGTGTTTCCTTTCCTGTGAAGTGCCTGTTTGTGTCTCCTGCCCATTCTTCTCTTGGGTTATAATACTCTCTTGTACTTTATGAAAATTATGCCCTAACTTTTCCATGCTCCATATCTCTGGGGGCATAGGGAGGGCTGGTAGTATTAACGTTATTTTACAGGTAAGGAAACAGAGGCTCAGAGAAGTGAAGGGGGCTTGTTCAAAAGTCAGAGTCAGAAACAGCCCTTCTGCACTGAGGCCCAAAGACCTCAGCTAAGAAACCTTCTCTTCACCTCAAGCTGGGTCAAGGCTCCCCTGGTCCTCAGCCTCTATTGGTCCCTGACCATTCCAGGAGCTTTTTTTCTCCTTAGTGACACCTTCCTTGTCCCCTGGCCCTCTTTATGTTCTTCTGAGCTCTCCTGCATGGTTGTAATGATCCAGATATGTATGTGTGTATTTCATTATTGCCATCCTCCATCAGACTAGGAGCTCACTGAGGGCAGGGACCCAATGCTCAGCATGATGCTTAGCATATAGTAGGTGCTCAATAAATGTTTGCTGGATGAACTGTTTCCTTGTCTGCACACCCAGCCCTTGGATTCTTTCTGAGGGTAGGGCTGGGTCTGAGCTGGAAGGAGGAGCCAGCAGCATCCTCACTAGGACAGATTCAGTGCCCCTGGGCTTTTCCTGCTTGGCATGGAAGTCTCCTGAGACAAACCCTGGTTCCTGACTCTCTGGCTCCCCCATCTTGGCCCTGCCCCTCTGACTCCCTGTCGTCAACCTCCAGCAGCCAACACTCACTGGTTTCCTGTCTTGGAAGCTCCTTCCCTGGGCCTGGCCTCCTTTAGAATCTTCCTCTCTCTCTTCTTCCCCACCCAGCATCTCCACTTCCTCCCCTCCAGCTGCTCCTTGACTCACCTACCTCCACTGCGCCATCATGCCACCATCATTCCGAAACCCCAGGCTTTGACCCTCTACCTCTCTGGCTCCTCCTTCTTCCCAGCGCCCTGATGCTAGAGTTCCCAGGACTCTATCCAGGCCCTCTCTTCTTACGCTCTTCATCAGGAAGCCCATCCACTCCCTCAGCTTCAAGCCAAAAGTGGGATGACCACTCCTCAGGCTTTGCCACTCTTCTAAGAAGCCTTCCTGGTGTCTCCAGGCCCTGTTGACTCCTAGCTCCTACTTAGGTGGAGGCCTCAGCCCTCCACACCAGGCTGGACCTTGTCCCCCTTCCAGTCCATGACACTGCCTGGCCTCCACCAAGGTCCGCCATCTCAGTAGGCATACTGAGTAAAGGGATTAGCTCTGGCTGTGGGTAACAAAGGCCTGAAAAACTGGTGGCTTAAAAAAGGTAGACATTTATTTCTCTCTCATGCAAAAGTCTGGATTTAAGTGACCCCAAACTGGAATGGTCAGAAACGCAAGTTGCTTCTCATGTTCCAAGATGGTGCTCCAGCTGTGACGTCACAATGTAAGCAACAAGGAGGGAAGGGAGGCCAGACACCACCTGTCTCTTAAAGACATTCCCTCCTCCCATATTAAACTGCCTTAGGGCATTTGGCTTATATCCCATGGACCAGGAGTAATTTATCTGGCCATACCTAGCTGCAAGAGAGGCTAGGAAATGAAGTTTTCATCCTAGGAGACTGTGCCTAACTAAAAGAGAATTGACATTGTTGTTGGCACAGCTTCCTAGGGGTCCCCAGTTACTAGGACTGGGTGGGGCAGGTGGGCACTTGGAAGTCAGGTGAAGAAAGGAAAGGGGAGGGAAGGGAGGGTGAAGCAGGGGAGGATCTAGTATTGGGGTTAGAGAAAGGCTGTGTGACCTTGGTAAGTCAGTTCCCACATCCGGGTCTCAGCTTCCCCATTATAAGTATTTTAAGGATTAAATGAGAAAATGAGTATACCACACGTTGCATGGTTCCCAGAATGCACAGAGCCCGGCCTATGGCCACTACTGTCCTTGTGGCTCGCCAGTGCTTCCCTGGCTGGCAGCCTTTTCCTCTCTAGCCCTGCTAACCCTCCAGCTTCATATCAGGCCACAGCCCCGCCTATCCTTCCTCAGGCAGCCTCCATGCCTTTGTTTGTGCTGTTCCCTGTACCAGGGAACACCCTTACCCTTTTTCCTTCAGTGTAATTACATCTATCCTTTAAGACCCAGCTGTACCACTCCTTCCCCCAGGAAGTCTTCCGCAACCCCTTTGGTCCCTCCTGCCCCTCACCGCACTCCACCCCTGTCTGTGTCGTCTCTGTCCCCATGCCAGCAAGCAGACCTTCCCAGAGTAAGCCCCCCACCCCTGCCCTGCCCCTCCATCACTGAGAGTGCTCTGGGTTAAAGTGAGAAGGGAGAAGGGCGGTGGGGAAGAGGAAAAGAACAAAAGGAGGCGGAAGGGAAGGAGGAATTCAAGACCCCCCAAATGGTGCTTGGAATCCCTCGCTGGTCCTGGCATGTAATAAATTGATTTTTCCTTCTTATAGGAACAGATGGGGCTCATGGATTATGGCTCTTATTCTCAAAAAAGTGTGCTGAATTTTTTTTTCTTAAAAGACTAGCTGCCTCCTAGCTAAAGGAGAAAGAAAAACCCTTGCAATCTACCCTGCTTAAAGCTCCTTGTTTAGAAACCTCCTATGCCTATTCCTAGAGACAGACCCTAGAGGAACTTGTGTGAGCAAAAGGCGAAACCATTATAACAGTAACATTCATTGCATGCCTACTATGTTCCAGGCATTGTTCTAAGTGCTTTGCACATACTAGTTAATTTAATCCTCACAACAACTTTACAAAATAGGTACCATTATTACTCCCACTTTACAGTTATGGAAGTTAAGGTATGAAGAGGTTAAATAACTTCCCCAGAGTAACACAGCTAGTAAATGACAGACCCAGGATACACACCCAAGTGACCTGGCTCTGGGGTCTGAACCCTTTATGCTATTCTGCCTTGCAAGGGAAGCTGGGAATGGAATTTACCTGCGGCTCACAATTTCCACTCTTGGAAAAGTAACCAAGGGGTCACAGTTCTTGGCATCCTGCTGGGACAGGCATCTGGGACTCGCTGCCGCGCTCAGCCTGGGCCATTGGCAGAGGCCCTCTGCCTTCTGCTCCCCCAGCTCTTACTCCCCCGTGACAGGCAGCTGAAGAGCCTGGTCTCAGATGCAAGATGGATAACACCCGGACTGCTTGGCACAGCATTGCACTATATGGGGACTAAGAACCAGTCTGTCTTCTGATGTCCCCACACATCTACCTCAATGTGACCCAAAGAATCAAATTGCCTTCTGTCCAAATTGTCAGCCTCTCCAGCAAGGACACTTTCAATGGATTCCCAAGATGGGCTGGGGCCTGGTTTTCCCCCTTCCTCTACCAGCTGCAAGCACACCTCAGACATTACTGTGGAGTTTAACTCCTGCAGAGCCCTTCTCTAAAGGTCCCCTTGGCTGAAGAGCCTTGGAGATTAGGCAGGGCCAAAAATAAAAATGCTGAAGAAGTTGTACAGTCCTTCCCCTCCCTGCCTTGTCCCTCTGCCCTTTCCTCTCTCCGCTCTAACCTTCTAAGGTGGAAGACTCCCTTTGCCATGGCTGGCTCTGCCAGTACTGGGTCTGTGTGGCATACTAGCAGCCATGGGCTGGCCACATTGTTCCACAGGAGGAAAACTGAGATCTGGGAGGAGGGAATAAGGAATGGAGGAGTAGTGAGCGGGGGTGGGGCGGGAGTGTGTGGAGATGAGGACAAGGAGCAGAGAGGACCAAATGAATGAATGGAACACAGCACATCCCCCAGAGATCTCATATGCATCCCTCAAAACCCAGCTCAAATGGCCCTTCCCAGAAGCTCTCACTTACCCCTCCCATCTTCTCTTACTCCCTTTATTGGTGACTCCAAAGAATGCAGCATACTCCTCAGTTACAGTACATGTCGTACTATATTTTTGTGAGCAGCTTAACTCTCTCCCCAACTCTCCATGGCTTCTTGAGACCTTCTGGAGAACCAGGCCCAGGCTTGTCTCTCTCTGTACCCACAGGGCCTGGTTCAGAAAAAGGGCTTAATAAATAGTTGTTGGTGAAGTTTTGGGGTCTGGGGGGGGTCTCACTCTATGCCCCGCTGAGCTAAGCTCTAATTCTCTGCATGGCTTGGGGCTGGTGGAGCTTTTGGTGCCCCAGCCACAGTGGCAAACACAATGGTTGCCCAGACCCCACATGTCCTGCCCCAGTGGACTCAGTGACCCTGTCGCTGCCACTTGGCTGTGAGATTCTGTAGCAGCTCCTGTGGCCGCCGGCGGAACTTCTTCTGGGTGAAGTAGAAGAGGATGGGGTCCAGCACGCTGTTGGCACTGGCGAAGGGCCGTGTGCCCTTGTAGGCGGCCGCGAAGGCCTCCAGCACAGGGCAGGGGAGGCCGGGCGTAGAGCGCACCGCCAGGTAGGCTGTCTTGGTGGTGTGGAAAGGCAGGAAGCTGATGGCAAAGGCAGCTGCCACCACCACAGCCATGCGGGCTGCCTTGCTACGCCGCTCCTGGGCCACAGGCCCTGCTGGGCCGTCCCGGCGGCACAGACGATGGGCCAGGCAGCAGTAGCAGGCCAGCAGGGCAACAAAGGGCAGCAGGAAGCCGATGACTGTGAGGGCCATGCCATAGGGCATGTAGTGGGTGGCCAGGGCAGGTGGGCTCAGGTCATAGCAGACCGTGCGGTTACGCTGGATGCCTGTGGCAGCAAAGAGGGCTGTGGGCAGGCACTGGGTCGTCACGGCCAGCCATACAGCCCCACACACTAGCCAGGCAGCCCGGCGGCCCCCACGCTTGTGCCAGGGGGCCAGAGGGTGGCAGATGCCTAGGTAACGCTGGAAGCTGATGCAGGTAAGAAAGAGGATGCTGCCGTGTAGGTTGGCATAGAAGAGGAAGCGGACCAGGCGGCAGGCGAGGTCTCCGAAGGGCCAGTGGTCACCTTGGGCATAGTTATAGATGAGCAGGGGCAGGGAGCAGGCATACAGCAGGTCCGCCAGGGCCAAGTTCAGGGTGTACACAGCCGTGCGGGTCAGGGCCCGGCGGGATGTGCAAATCTGGGCAATGACGCAGGCGTTCAGTGGCAGGCCGGCTGCCAGCACCACCGAGTACACGGGGGGCAGCAGTAGCCGCTTGAAGTTCTCTTGGTAGACGCAGGTGGTGGGCGGCAAGCCCAGGGCCTGGCCTGTGTCATTGTCCCATTCCATGGCTGTTCAACTGGACTTCCTACATCCAGAGATGCTGGGGAAGCAACACACAATCTGTCAGTGGCTACACTCATTGACCACCCAGTAGGCCCCTGTCCCTCTCTGGGCCTTGACCTCCCCACCTGAACCATCTCTGATACTCACCACCCCACGGAAGCCCTCCACAACCCTCACTTTAAGGAAACCTGGAATACAATAAAGCTCAAGCTTGGGAGAAATCCAATTCACTTTCTTGCTGTAATATTCATTTCCTACCAACCTTCTTGGTGAATTTCTATTCATCCTTCAAAACCCTAGTCAAATGTCTCCTCTGTAAGTGAAGAGTGACAGATTTTGGTTTGAATCCCAACTCTGCTATTTACTAGTTATGTGAACTTGGGCGACTGATATGATGTACCTTATCTGAGTCTCAGTTTTCCCATCTGAAAAATGGGGGATTGATGTACCCACCTGTCAGGATGTCATGAGGTTAGAGGCACTAAATCATGCTATGCAGGGCTTCCCTGGGCTCCCTGGAGTTTGGAGATTGTGGTCATGGTGGGCCTGCTTGTCTATCTCTTCCCCACAGACTGTGAAGCTCCTGAGGAGAAGTGCCAGGTCTGGTGCCTCTCTGTGTCTGAGAGCCCAAAATTGGGGCCCAGGGCAGGGAAGGCCCTGGTAATTAATTAATCAGCATGAGTAGAATGTCCACACTTCTGAGCTAAGGACAGTGCCCACCTCCTCAGCCTGGACTCCACCTTCCAAAGCCATGGTCATTCTTTTGGCTGCAGTCTTCGTATCTGTAGAATGGGGGAAGGAGGTGATTTAGGAGTTCCCTAAATCCTTCCACGGGACTTTTGGCTACAAAGGCGTGTCTGGCTGAGCCACTAGGGCCACAGCGCCCCCTGGTGGCAAGAGTGAAAACCGCTTCCCCTGAAGGCAAACGGCTGAGGGACCAACCAATTCCACAGCTACTTTACAGAGAGGGAAATCCAGGCACAGTGAGGGGCACTGACCGCTCAATCTTAGTGAGTTAGAAGCAGAGCCAGAACCAGAACCCAACTGACTGACTAAGAGGAGGCAACTTAGTGTGACCCATGGACTTGAAGAATAGAGGTTATAAATCTAGCTTCAGAGCTAGGCAGGCCAGGTTCAAATGCTAGCTCCCCTACTTCTATGCTGTTCTACAAAGGGGAGGTTGCTTGCCTTTTCTGGGCCTGTGTCCTTATCAGTAAAACTGTCATAGACCTGATATTCAGTAGGTGCTTAATAAATGCCATGCCATGCCACTGTAGCCTACACCTTATCTGTCCATTCATCCCTTCAAGCTAGGTTTTGGGGGAGCCAGCAGCACAAATGCCTCAAGAGTTTCCCTGGTGGGATCAGTCTGACTTATTGATACTCACCCCCCAACTGGCATTTCCATATTTACTGGTGTCCAGAGAGAATTCACAACTTAAATCCAATGGTCCTGGAAGGGAAAGCCTTTGGGATAGTGAGTCAAATCACCCCCTCTCCCTATTTTACAGATAGGAAAAACTGAGGCCCAGAAAAAAACATGAAGTCCTGCAAATGCATTCAGAAGGTGACAGAGGGTTGAAGCTGAGTATAAGGGCTCTGGTCCAGATGCCCATGTTCAAATCCCAGCTCTGTCACATGTAAGCTGTGCGGCCTTAGGCCCGTTACTGAACCCCCGTGCCTCGGCTTCCACATCTATAAAAGGGGATAATGTAGTACCTGCCTCATAGGGCTGTTGTGAGGATCAGTGCCTAGCACAGGGCAAGGTGAGCTATTCATTTTTTCTTTTTTTAAATTGGAGTATAGTTGATTTACAATGTTGTGTTAGTTTCAGGGGTACAGCAAAGCGAATCAGTTGTACATATACATATATCCACTCTGTTTTTAGATTCTATTCCCATATAGGCCATTACAGAGTATTAAGTAGAGTTCCCTGTGCTATACAGTAGGTTCTTATTAGTTATCTATTTTACATGTAGTAGTGTGTATATGTCAATCCCAATCCCCCAATTTATTCCTCCCCCACCCCTTACCCCCTGGTACAAGGTGAGCTATTCCTAATGTGAATATACCTGCTAAATAAAGTTATGAGATTCTTTAAAGTTAATTAGAGCAAAACATAACTCCTCAAACTAATTTCTCCCAACTTAAAATTTGATTTTGATGAAAATAGCTTACCCAGATTCGGGGCAACTGCAAAATGATGATGTTTGGACTCTCTAGCCTGTAACCCACGTGCTACATCACCTTTAATTATCAAAGATTCTTCCTGGGGCTACAGTGCATGTGCTAGGAGTGCTGGGCACCCAGCCAAGCAGTTAAGCATGAGGTAGAGGCCAGAGGAGGAGGCACGACAGTCCCCCCACTGTCACCAAGAAGCCAAGATTAGTACAGGCAAGAGAAAGTTCATTCATCTCATTTGTTTGTTCCAGCCATTCTTTCATTCATGCATTCATTCTTTGTTTTCACACGCCAGACATTTAATGGGTACTCACTGCTTGCTCACTGCATGTGGCATAGTGTACAGATGTAGATGTAGATAGATACATATACAGATATATGCATACACATACACATATTCATATACATATACATATGCTAGTCTGAGGGGGGAGACCGGTGTGAACCACGGGATGGAAGAAACTTTTCAGAGGAGGATGAAGGATGGAGCAAGTCCCTGGTGGCTGAGGGAGATTTCCATGGATGGAGAGGGGTGTGAGGCCCCCTGGGGTGTCCCCAGGTGAGGAGGAAGAGGGCGCAGGCAGGGCCTGAGAGGAGAGTAGCGCGCTAGGACAGAAGGTTATGGTGAGGATGGAGAGCATGTGGAAGGAACTGTGCTGAGCGCCCCCCCCTTTGGGGAGGTCTGTCGCCCTTGGACACCACCCCGAGAGAGAGCCCTCTGCCTCAGGCGACTGACTGCAGTTTCCAGGAGTTTTCTGCCTCGCACTCCCTGGCGAGAGTGGCCCTCTCGGAAGGAGGCAGGGGCTGCTGTAGGGGATCCAGGCAAGCCTTCAGGTCTGCTCCAGGAAAGGTCACACTGGCTTCCTGATCCGCTCGCCTTCTGAGGACCTAGGAGTGGTGAGCTGTTCTCCCACTTCCCGGCAAGAGCTGGTCCCAGGGAGGGCTCGCGTGGTCCCTGCCTCTGGGCAGCAGCTGACACTCCTTCGAGTTCTCACACCTGTCACTCACTCCTGGGCCCTGTGCCCTGGACCGGCTCAGACCCCAGCCTCTTCCTGGGCTCCAGCTGCTCTGCCTGAGGTGGAGGGCTTTCTAGCAGGCGGCTCTGACTACATCCTTCCCTGTATCCCTCTGCCCTTTGAAGAAAAGCTCAAACTCTTGTCCTGACAGTCAAGCTCCCTGCCGAGCCCTCCAGCCTCATCTGATGTACCCCAGATGAGGCACTTCACTCTGCCCCTTCCTCTCCTGCCACACTGTTCTCAAGACACCGAGACCTGCCACACGGCCATTCATGGCCAGAGATCCAGACTTCCTCTCGGGCTTCCCCATTTTTGCTGTTCCTGTCACACAAAATGCCATTTAAGCCATCTCTGTTTGTCAAAACCCTAAGTGTCCATCAAGCTCCAGATCTAATCTTACTTCTGTCTTTTCTGATCCCCCAGTTGGGTGGAGTCCCTTCCTCTCTGCCCACCTCCCAAATCTGTGGACCTCCTTTAGGTCAGCGCTGGACCCAGCCTGCCTACCCCCCTCCCCTCCCCACCCTGGCCCACGGCCCCCAAGATGTGCCAACACTTACATGCAGCCTCCTGTCCCTGAAGCGCCTTGGCGGCCCCAAGTGTTTTAGGTCAAGGAGAGGCCAGACATGCCCTGAGCCCAGGCTGTAACACCTCCGACAGGGCAGCTTCCTCTGTTTCCCGGCAGGGCTGTCTCCGATTGAAATAGCCCCTGCGGGGACCTCCCCCAGCTGCCGCATCACCCTCAGCACCAAAGCCTAGCGGAAACTGAATCTAAGGAGCGAGGAGGCAGAGAAAAGATCTCCTTCCTGGAAACCTCCCCACCCCAGCAGACGAAAGCGGGTGATGAAGAGGCAGATTGAGGTGGGGGAGGACCAGAGGCTGCTGCTCTAAGGCCAGCCCCACAGACCCAGCAGCTTCCTCTCTCCTCAGCCCTCTCTCAGTCTATCCATCTGTCAAATGGGTAGTTGGTTTTTAAAGAACTGTTGGTCTCTCTTTAGCTATAATACCCAGAGCCGTTTTCCTAGTCACTCCTCCATCCATCCCTCCTTTCTTCATCCACTCAACAGCTCATTCACCCACCTGTCCATTCTTCTCTGTGGCAATCCACTTACGCACTCACTTATTCAGCCACCTTCTCCCTCCCTCCTTCCCTCTCTCCTTTTTTCCACAAGCTCGATCTTCCCACATTTCCCCACTTAGCAGTCACTGTTCCCTTGGACACTGCAGGCCCAGAGCTCCCTGGGAGTGAGGGGCGTGGGTTGTGGGGATAGAGGTGATGCCTGAGAACTCACCCGGGTGCATTCTCTCTGCCTGTGCCAAGCCCTTCCCAGGCCTCTCCGCACCACCGAACCAGGACTCAGAGCTGTTAGGACAACCAGAGGAGGCGATGTGGCTCCTTGCTGTCCCAAGGGGGGCAGCTCCAGTGGTGGAGATGGTACTCAGGGGCTGACCTGGAGGAGGTGGGCTTTCATTTGGAGTGGCTGAGGCAAATAGAGACAGAATGGTACAGGAAAAGATCACTGCCCAGGGAGTTTGAGGCCCAGGTTCTTGTGCTACCTTGGTACCTACTCACTTTGTGACTCTGGACAATCCCCTCCCCTTCTCTGACCCCCCTCAGTACAATGTGGTCATACTGGCCACCAGTATGTTGTGAGGGTGACCTGCCAAAGGGAGGGAGGACTCTTTTTACCTTGTAAGGTATAAGCACCGATCTCACCCCCAAACGCATTTTACAGGCAAGGGGATTGAGGAACGGAGGCGGGGCCAAAAGTTTAGAACAAACTGAGAAAATTCAGGTTTGAACTGCTGGTAAGCACTTGGTCAGTTGTGCATGGATTGATCACCTACTGCTTATTCAAGGCTGTGCTAGGAGGTCACTTGTGCCTGCTGAGAGTGTGGACCTCCTGGTCTGATTTGCGCCGTGCTAGGGCTCAGGAGGGCAAGGAGGCCTGGCCTTCATCCCAGCAGCCAGTTCTCTGCTGGGTTCCCAGGACAACCTCCTGTGGTCACCCACACCTGTCTTGGGACAGGGTGTCTGTCCCAAGAATGGGAGCAGGTCCGAGGACTTGCTGAAGAGGTCAGCCCCAGCGTAGAGCTTGGGTCTCAGTTCCTGCCATCTGGATGGGGCCCTGAAGGGAGAGCTCAGGTCTTAGGGGTCATGGGTACACCAGGAAGGGCTCCTGGAGAAGGCATGTCTGCTGCTGGGCTTTAAAGGGCTGGGGTGTCTTGGACACATAAAAAGAATGAGTAGGGCATCCCAGGCAGGAGGCACAGAGGTAGGGAATGAGTCTACCCTGTGCAAGAAGTGAAGAATAAATATTGCAGCCAGAGCATGGGATGAGTTGTGCGAAGAGGGGACAAGATGGGAAGCCTGACGGGGGTGGCCTGTCATAAAACCTCAAGCAGAGCCCAGGTGCCACTGCTTTGCTCCCAAGCCTGCCAGGGCTCCCAGCCCAGCCTCAGCCTTCCCCACCAGGCTTTCCAGCCCTTGGACCTATCACATGCTGTTTCCTCTGCCTGGGATGCTCTCACTCACCTTCTCTAAATAATCTCACTTATCCTTCCTTGTAGTTTTCTAATCTGTAAAATGAGAGTGATCATTGGTACCCTACTACATAGGCTGTTGTAAGCATTAACTGAAACCATGTATGTGAGCGGCCCTGGTACACAATAAATACTCAATAAATGGTTTTTTGTTTTTTGTTTTTTGCCGCACCGCGCGGCTTGCGGGATCAGGGATTGAACTTGGGCCCTTAGGCAGTGAAAGTGCAGAGTCCTAACCACTAGACCACCAGGGAATTCCCAGACATTTGTTAACTGAATGAATCAATTCCAGGCCCAGCTTTGGGCTCCCTCAGTCCACCCCAGTCTCCACTGATTTCTGAGTCCTCAGCACCAGGTGTCATTCATTTAAGTACCTTCCCTGTGCCGGATGTTTTAGCTGCAGTTCTGGGCTGGTAGTGGTTGAGATTATTCTCTCCATTTTATTGAGGAAGGAAGGCTAGTGAGTTTCCCAAGGTGTGCAAGACTGGTGGCATTTCAACAAGGTCTTCCTCACTCTACAGCCACCTTTCCCTTTGTTGCCCCAAAGTCCATGCTTAGATGGTCAAGCCAGAGAATTCCCCGGGGAGTATCTTCCCTGCACTCAGGGCCTTTGGCCATGAGATGGCGCCAGGAGATCGCCCAGGATGGCCAGCCTCGCGCCTTCAGACAGCAGCCCCAAGATGAGGGCTGGGGGCAGGTCTCCAGACCGCAGGGT